ACCATCAACCTACTGACACCCTACCATCAACCTACTGACACCCTACAGTACCATCAATCTACTGACACCCCACCAACACCCAACTGACACCCTACCATCTCCCTACTGACACCCTACCATCAACCTTCTGACACCCTACCATCAACCTGCTGACACCCTACCATCTCCCTACTGACACCCAACTGACACCCTACTGATACCCTACCATCTACTGACACCACATTACCTTCATTACCATGTTCATTGTCATCAACTATTTCTATGAATATGAACTGCTTTTTCATACCTGGCATTGACCACTTTGTTCTTTTGGGCTGCTTAAAGAACGCAGCATAGTTCAGGTTATTAGAGTCTTCATACACAATATCTCTGAAACAAAAAAAAAAAGGTCTGTCATTTTCAACAATCAGAAGTTTTACAAACGGTTGGGTACAGGAGCCTGTTGTGTGAAAGGTCGTGGCTTCAAGCCTTGGCTGGATCAACACTCAGGGTTTTAAATTATCTGAGATGGTAATGCCTTTGGACATCGCTGTGGCTAAGATTCAGGGGGGGTGAATCCAGGGGGTGTCCTGCAGCGCATCAGGGACCCCCTAACACTGTTATTACACTTATGCTTGTTTTTAATGTGATGCATTTATAATATCTCTATCTCTGTATACATTTCTTCATTCCTCCCAACACTGTCATCACTCTTACGCTTCTTTAAAGCGATGCATAATATCTCTACATTATACATTTCTTCATTTTGGAACCCCCCCCCCCCCCTAACAAATTCCTGCATCAGCTGCTATAATGTGTTGTACATACCTCTCTTGTAGGGTGGAGTTTGGTGGTGACTTTATTAGAAGGCTGAAATTCAAAGCATTAAATTAAATTAATGATTATATGTTATTCCCTCCTGTCTCTGGAAGACAATAATACTGAAAAGGAGGCAGAAAAATCAACTATATTATAATAAAAGTGTGAGAAGCATTCGCCTACAGCTCGTGTTTTCCTTACAGTTCTTTTGAGCTTACATCACTTCCTGCATGCTTTATTACTGAACAGAGCACGGAAAAAGCTGTTTTATTTGTTAAATACAATTATGATTAATAATTTCGATGAATATGACTAACATATAGTATTTGTAACATTAGTGATTTTAGCYTTGAATAGTAGAGAGCTTCGCATACTGTTGGTCAAGTGACCAGTGATTTATGGGTAGCATGGGTGGCGTTCGCGGCTAATGCGTCGTCTTTCACCACTATGAGTCCAACGGGTCTGCGGTCACCACATGTAAATTGAGTTTGTTTGATGTGTTGTTCTCTCCTATACTACAAGGGTTTTCTCTGGGTTCTCCTGTTTACTCCCTTCGTAAAAAGGGAGCTCAACATGTGAGCTGGTAGTGCGTGTGGAGGGAACCTCACAGAAGAGCCCCATATGGGGAGTGGTGGTCTTAAAATATTATTATTATTATTATTGCATTAATAGTTATCCTATTACTAGTACCTTTCTTCATCTAAGATAATACAACCATCAGCACCAATCTTCACTTGAGGAGCATGTACTCTATCCTCATCTCCCTCCTGAGGTGTCGGAGTGTCTGTTGATGGTTCTGCAGTTTGTTCTGTTGTTGTGCTGGCTTGGTCTGTAGCATCTTGACCGTCGACTTCAATTGCATTGGCATCCCTGAGAAAAATAAGGTACATGTGGAATAGGGCTTGGTGGTGCAATATTTACCCATTTCAGACAATGTGTCACTCTCTTGAGACTAAGATTCTTTGTTTGAGTTGTATCCATATTCATGTGTCTTCTTGTCCGCAACTGTCAACTAAAGAAATTTTACTCTAGGGAATGACACATGGTCTATAATTAGAAAACATCACACCAAGACATATACTCCATTTACAGTTCCGTTTAGTGACCACAAATAATACAAGTTCCAAGTCAAGGCTGGAGTTGCCACGCATGATAAACTATAGTTTTGCTTTGTGCGGTAAACTCCAACCTCGAATTGGAACTATTGTTCTTGGTAACTGAACAGGACTGTAAAATGGAGTATTGTCTATAATTATTGAATGGCACTGATGAGAGGAAAATAGTTGCACTTGATGTTTGAGGATGTTTTCACTTTTCATTTTATTAGAACATGGTAAGGGTCATAAGGCCGGTTATCCCTAACCCTAATTACGAGTATTTTGTCCATATCAATTTGTAATAGTCCCCTTCACAGTTCCCTGCGCCATCTTTAAAGGTAGCCGTGCCTTTGCATCCAAGCCAGATGACTGGTGAGCTTGCAATGATAGAGACATGAGAATAATTGTCCAATGCGTTAAAAAAGGTCTCTTTCATTGCAAGCTCACTGTTTGTCTTGCTTTGATGCAAAGGCACGGCCACCTTTCAAGATGGCGCAGGGAACTGTGAAAGGGACTATTTGTTCAATGGTCCAACTGTTAAACCCCCCTTCCCACTACAATAAATTAATGACATAAAATATACTAAATATATATATTAATGACATAAAATAGTGATGTTTCTTTACCCATTTTCACTTTCATTTGATTGACTTGGTTTTCTTTTGTTTCCTATTTTTCTCCTTTTGGCATCCACACTTGATCTGATAAAAAACAGTTATGCAAGGTTAGGGCTATTGCATTGAAATTGATTGCTAATGTAAGTCAAGGCTTTGCTAACTCAGAGACTAAATTGGAATCTGCCATGTTAGGTTTGCAGAGGGAGTTACTGTAAGCCTGCTGGCATAATCATGTCCTTTATGACCAGAATTCAAGGTTGACTGTTGCCCGACTATTGCCCGACTGTTGCCCTACTGTTGCCCGACTATTACCCGACTGTTGCCTGACTGCTGCCCAATTGTTGCCCAATTGTTGCCAATTGCTGCCCTTTTGATTGGATGTTAATATTTGAGGTTTCAGCTTACTTCATTGGGTTGTCCTTTGGGTTAAAGTATATCAAGTCTTGTAAAGTCATCTTGCTTGGATCTAAAGGTTCCTTGGGTCTTGAATGTCTTGGTTTCCTCTTTTTCTCTTCAACCTAAACACCCCCAAAAATTTAAGAAACCTGAGTAAAAGTATTAAGGGAAAAAAAAGGAAAAACGATGAAAAGGAAAAGGGAAGAAAAGGAAAAGGGAAGAAAAGGAAAAGGGAAGAAAAGGAAAGGAACTGAGGGAAAGAAATAAAAGGGCAGGAAATTGAAAAAATGGAAGTGTTCATACTCTTTTGAAGTCTCTAAATTCCATGACTTTCCACAAACTTTTCCATGACTTTTACATTATTTTCCATGACCAATATTTATCAAAAGCTTAATAATAACTTAAAACAATTGCAACATCTCTGAATAAATCATAACATTTTTACTGTTTAAAATAATGTTTTCAATGACTTTCCATGAACCTGAACATAATTCCATGACTTTCCAGGCCCGGAAAATGAAAATATGAAATTCCATGACTTTCCAGGATTTCCATGATTCGTATGAACCCTGAATGGGAAAAGGAGAAAGGGGAAGGGAAGAAAAGGGAAGAGACGAAAAGGGAATAAAGGGAAGGAAGGGTGTCTGACTTATCTATCTTTACATGTAATGTATAGCTGCAAGATGTCTACATACAGTATGCAGGAAAGTAAACCTACTAACCCTTTTATTAGTTGCCTCTTCCTCATCTTCTTCGATAACCTGTTCCTCTACAGGTTGTGTTTCTGTAGCCGTAACTGACTCAACTATTACTTCTGCTACTCCAAGGATATTGTCTAGTGGTGGTTCTGAAGCTGTTCTGGGCCGTTTGTTACTTCTCTCTTCTACTTCATCATTTTCAGGTAAAGCCTAAAAGCAAAAAACAACGAAAGTAGGTTATTAATTTAAAACTATAAACTTCAGCTACAATATGCTTTATAGACAACATTTCAATGCAGTCCCAATGTAGGACACTGTTAAAAGGCCGTGCTTATCACTATTGTATCACCAACATGGTCCCCCACATCTTAGTCATAATTATGACTATCTTGGAATTGCTTGCACACCATCAATTTTTGTATTATTAGATTGCAAGCATTCCCAATAGACGAGTTAAATGAGAAATTTAGATATATGGCCATGTTGGTGGTAATAAAAAAGTAGGCTAGTGATAAATCTTTCGTTAAATAACATCAATATGGCAGTGATGAGAATGTGTGGACCGCGTAGCACTTCTGAAATACAAGATATAAAAATATAGATAAGTTATAGTGCTTGAGAACGAGGTTATTCCGGGCATTAAAGACCCTTGGAAATGAAATAAATTTGGAAAAATTAATTTCTGACCTCGCTGGGAGGTCAGCGAGGTTCGAAATTAATTTTTTCAAATTTATTTCCAAGGGTCTTTAACACACGGAATAACCTCGTTCCAAAACACTATAACTTATCTATATTTCTAARTCTTCAATATGGCAAGTGAGGATACATGTACAAACAAAAAAAATTATCAAGTGTGGACATACCTTATCAGAGACCTCTTGAATCAGTTGGCTAACTGATGATTCAGGCTGGCTTGCTCTGTTATCAGGTGTGCTCTCCTTAGGTACTGATACTGATGAYCTTCTTCTTGCTGCAGCACCAACATTAGGTATAGCCCTCTTCCGCCGAGTGAGTGAAGACCCAACAGAAGATTGATTCCCTTCTGAAGTACTGACGGAGCTCTCAGTTTGTTTGGAAATTTCAGTTGATGTTTCAGCCTGTGTGTTTGACTGAGGTTTTGGTTTAGGTTGCTGTTTATTGTTGGCATTTATTGTACTGGTATCTATAGAAGGAGCAGTGTCCACTGTTGTACTTGTTGTAGTAGTAGCAACAACCTCTTCAATTTCTGGTTAAAAAATAGAAAAAATATTATGCAAAAAAACCCTACTTTATAGTTGGTGAAAAAAAATTCAGTATCCTAGTCAAATTCCACACACACCACCACACAATTGAGTGGTGAATTTTATTTCAGCCAGTCACAGCGTATATAGCTGTTTTGCCTAAGGCTCTCATTCCAAGGCTACTGTAATCCAACTTTTGCATATTTTTCTCTTTTCTTTTGACTTAAATATAATATATTGTACATGGTTATAAGTAGCAGAAATGTGAAAATTTGCATTGTTCTTTCAAGCTCTAAAAATACTTAGGGCCGGCCATTTTGTCCACTCATGCTTTGTATGCTGTGTTCACCACTCTGCTGGTTTGTTCAGTAGAACATGCATAATAGGTATTCAACTCTCAACTCACATGTTGATAATTAAATGGAGAAAATAATTTGTAGAACCCTGGAAAACGCTTTTCACTGCTGTATAAGTGTATGGTATACAAAACCTTTGTAACAGGAATAACAGTGTGAATGAGTTTGGCTTTTTTAACTTCTGTCGTTCAAAATAATATTTTTGCCTAACATGTAAAAAAGTAAACTTGAGTAACCCTGACACATGTGTCAAACACCTTAATTTTAGATAATTACCTGCTGCAGCTGACGCTGATTCATTTGCTTCTTGAAGAACTGTTTTTGGTGCATCAGTTGGTGGTTTCTTCCTTGCTCTTGCAGTTGGTTTTACACTTGGTTTGATTCGAGGTCTCCTTGTCTTTGCTGTAGTTTTAGCTATTTCTGTAGTTGTTGCTTTTGGTATGGATTCATCTGGTTCTTGAACAGTGCTTGTCACTTCTACAGCACTCAAAACCACTTCTGGACATTCTGTGTTTACTAAAGCTACAATTTAAAGAAACGATAATTCATTAACGCTAAACTTTGGTGAATTTAAGGATGGCCAACTTTTTTCTTCCATGTCATGCGAACTTCTAAACTAAATTTGTACAATATTTGTACGTTTAAAAAACGTTGGCTGTTGTTACTTCGTCTCAGTTAAGTAAGAATTAGATTGAATTACCTCTAGAACTGTTTGGAGGAATAAAAACGGCGGTTTCTTCTCCTCTTTGAGGTTGTTCGGGTTCAGAAACCGAAGGACAAGAAGTTGAAGAAGTTGAAATTGTCCTGTCAGGACCCGAGCGTCGACTGCTTCGAGGCGTCACATTTGGACGAAAACGATTTCTCATTGCACATGAACCTTTTAAATACTATCTAGTATGCCTTAACTTGTTTTGTAAGGTATTTACGAGGGTTGTAATGGGTTATTTAGCTCGTTATTTGGGCGCATTTTTCATAAAATGTCAATACAAACTTCTTTTTAGGCAGAATTTGCCAGGCGCGCTAACAGGCCACCGCGGTCTAAGCGAAGAACGCCTTGTGGTCTCTATCAACACAGGAAACCCAATCACTAGATGAATATTTTAAATAAAGGGGGGAGGGGAGGTACCAATTGTCTCCTGTCTGGAACAGCGCGCGTAGGCTATGTTTTGCTTTGCACAAATTTGTTCTTATCTAGCCGTTTTTGCATTAGATTGTGCTCTTGCAGCTCACATTATTGGCGTACCTAGTATAGGGTTAAGTCATGGTCGAGTTTTGGGAAAGATTGGTCGTGAACTTGCAAGACGCGGTCACAAATATACCCTTCTTGTACCATCTGATCTTGAAAAAGACCTTCAAGCATCAAGCACCACGCAAGGATTCCAAGTGCGATCTTTTAAATCCAACTTCACTAAGGGTTCATTAGAAGCTCTGATGTTGAATCAAAGTGTTGGGAACATTGATGTGAAGAAGAATCTTGAGTTATGGGTAGGGACTTGTGAAGACATGGTAAAGAGTGACTTGTATTCCAAAAGTTTGGATGATATTGACCTGATGTTTTGTGATATTGGCGCGCTTTGCTGCCCTATCTTGGCCGATAAACTTGGAATCCAACGAGTTGATATATCTCCGACTGGATTTAGCGATCCTTTTCTCAGCATCATTCACAACTTTCCCAATCCAGTTGCATACATTCCTCAAATGTCTTATTGGTTGCCTAGCAGACTGTCTTTCTTTGGTCGTGTTCAAAACACCTTAATGTATGGTTTTGGGTATACACTTTATAGATTCTATTTGATTCCGTCATATGCAGAGGTCTGGCAAAAGTATATCCCCAATTCAAAGTTCCTAAATTTGGATGAACTTTTCAAGTCAACAGGTTTGTTACTTATTCCAACAGATTTTATTTTGACAAAGCCACGCCCAGTGGCGGCACATGTTAAGGTGATAGGTGCAATACTGCCAGAACCAGCCAAGCCACTGACACCAAGTTTCCAGGAACTGATTTCATCTAGTCATCATAATGATGTGGTTGTAGTATCGTTTGGAACAGTAATTTCTAACTTCAGTTCCAGTTTTGTAGAAATTCTTGCTGATGCCTTGTGCAAGCTTCCTGCTTTGGTGATCTGGAAACACAAGGGGTCAGTACCATCCAACCTTGGAGAAAATGTAAAAATATTTTCATGGATTCCTCAAAACGACCTACTGGGTCATCCAAGGACAAAACTCTTCATAACACATGGAGGGTTAAACAGTGTTTATGAGGCTACTTTTCATGGTGTACCGATGGTTGTAATACCATTTTTTGCTGACCAGTTTGACAATGCCGCAAATGTAAGACAAGCTGGTTTTGGAGAAACAATTGATCTCAAGATTCTGACAGCAGAAAGGATAATTGAAACTGCTACAAAAGTTCTTAATCAAGAATCATATATTGAAAATGCTGTGAGATTTTCCAACAGAATGATATACCCTGCAAAGGTTTCAAAGTCGGGTGGCAAAACATATGTCCAGCCATTAACACGTACCCCCACAGAGCAAGCAGCTGATTGGGTGGAATATGGGTTGTATAACAATGCTGCCCTTCACTTGCGTGGTGAAGAAGACAACTTGTCATTTGCACAGCTTTATCTTTTAGATGTGTTGGTTTTTCTTCTGATAATGTTATTTTTGATTTTAAAAGTGATGTATATGGTTGTGAAATTTGTTGTCAACGTTTTTTGTTGGAGAAAGAAGTCAAAAACTGATTGAGAATATGTAGATCACTTTCACAAATCCTTAAAAAATATGAAAATGAAAAAGAAATCTCACGTTTTCTTGATGGAATTTGTGGCATTAAATGGTCAAGGTTATAGATTTTATTCGTTGTGCTGCAGTAATAGATAGAAGTGTATTATCCCATATCAGACCACGTCATTCCCTAGAGTATCATTTCTTTGTTTAAGGGTTGCACACAAGAAAACACATGAATATGGAAACAACTTGAACAAAGAATCTTGTTCTCAAGACCATGTGTCATTCCCTAGAGTATCATTTCTTTGTTTAAGGGTTGCACATGAGAAGACACATGAATATGGATACAACTCGAACAAAGAATCTTGTTCTCCCCCCCAGCACCTGAAAAAAATTTTATATTATAGTACTATGGGATTTACAGTTTTCCTTCAAGACTTAAATAATTAACCTTATATTTTGACCACTCTCAACCCTGCTAGTGGAAGATTAATTTCGTTCTGACTAGTAAATGAAAATGTCTGTGCTATGTTTACCATTACATGGTTCAGCTTATACTGACAATATTACAGTTTTCTGTATATGTCACACTTTCCTCACAGATTAATGTATCCTATCAATGGATAAAAACTGATTAACACAGCCTGGTTGGTTAATTTGGTGGAGCACAAACCAGTGTCGTGTGGGAGGTCTCGTGTTCAAGCCCTGGCATGCATGCAGATGAATATTTTCTTGTAGTATTTGAGTAGAAGGTGGTGAAAAAACATCTGCAAATGGTTCTTAGACCTTTCAATGCCAAGTCTTGGATATACTACAATGAAGTCTTCATAAATCTGAAGAACCAACCAAATAATAAATTCAAAATCACTACAAGTTTTGGTCCCTTTTGATAACAATAACAACAACAAAAACCACTCAGATTGGAATTTCGCTTCCTATAGATTATGTGTTTCTCACAAAATAATCATTCTTAACCAACCTATGTAGTTCATGTTGACCATTACTTCCTGGTAAAGCAGCTATATATTTGGTTTGTCATACTCGTGTTCTTCTTCATTATTCCCTGGTTCATCATACAAGTCATGATAGATGAGTTCCTGATGAAGACACAAAAAATGGCTGTTTAGTGATAGCTTTGTTAATCAAAGCATCTAATGAATATTGCTTATTAAAAAAACTCTGACTAATCAAACTAGGGCTGTCAGCGCTGGCATGTTCATTTCTGGAGAACACATACCAAAGGTGTGTTTCATGTAGCTGTTTAAAATGATCATGAGTGCATCCACAGATGATTCAAAACAATCAGGTTCAAAGATTGAGAACAACAACCCCCCTCCCCCTCCCCCCTCACAAAAAAAAAAAACAAAAAAAACCCTCAACATCCTCAATGTATGTTAAACTATGACAATTATCCAGGAGATTTAATCCGGAGGAGACCAGGAGATGACGTCCAAAATCTTGAGACTCCCCAATAATCTGGGAAAGTTGGCAGCTACAAGTATGGTATGCTACAAGTTCCTCTTGAATTGGGCATTATTGTGTTATGTTGAGGAGGAACATTCAATGAATTCCCATCTCCTCCCTTATGCCTTCTCTCTTATAAAACTCAACCCCATTGTCTACTCTTGGTTTGAAAAACACAGCAAGCCCATCCAGCTGTATGTAGATGATGATATATGAGAGATTTATACTCACATCTTCTTCTACTGGTATATCATTAAAAATATCTCTTTGAGTGGTTTTCTTTTTCCTGAAAGTAAGATAGAATTAAACTTGATGTCAAATGATATAGTCAACATGAATATTTTTCTTTGGCCATTAATATCAAATTTTCATCAATGCATTACCATTAAACCATCGTCATTACTGCTATAATCATCACCTTAATCACCATCAACATCATCACAACCATCATTAGCAACATCATCATACTCATCACCAGCACCAGCACCATATTCATCATCATTATAATCTTTACCATCATCACAAGGGTAACAGTTTTGTTAGCCACTTGGCTATTAAGTGCTACCCACGGGAAAAAAAAGGATGTCTTTTTACCATCACCATCACCTTCACTATTACCAACACCATCATGCCACCTTCACCATCACCATCATCATCAGCATCATCATCATCACCATTGTGTCACCTTCACCATCACCATCATTATCAGCATCATCATCATCACCATTGTGTCACCWTCACCATCAYYATCAKYATCAKCATCATCAYCAT